ACAGCCCTGCCCCTGGGGCTGGGCCCATCACTCCCACCCCCAACCTGCAGCCCAGCGCTGCCTGGTCTCCCACCTTTTCAGGATTTACAAATTTCGGATCTGAGGAATGCTCCTATCCTGCAGGTATTAGTCATACTGTTTGCTAAAAGGGTCCCTTGTCAAATGCATCTGTGGAATGCTGAATTAGAGGGCCTGGGCTTTCCCCTCCCTCCCTCCTCTCTCCCTTCCCCTCTCTGTCGCCCTTCCCCCTTTCCTTTTTTTCCTCTCCTCCTCCTCACCCCATCTCTCTCATCTCCTTTAAGAAGAGGAAGAAGAAAAAGGTAAAGATACAAAATATGAACAACAAATACACATCTATCAACAAGTGAATCTGAAAATCAAGTGAATAAATAATCTGATGAACAGAATGAACTGGTGAATATAAGAACCAGGGATCTGAACAATAAAGATTTAATTAAAAAAATGTCCAGGTATGACGACCTTATTCTTGGCTCACTAACGGGTCATGAGCTGCTGCTTGGCATGACCGCTGCGTGTCCGTCCGCAGGCTGGTCGACTGTGGCATCACCGAGGGGCGCTGCAAGGATGTGAGCTCCGCACTCCGGGACAACCCCGCCCTGACCGAGCTCAGCCTCTCCTCCAACGAGATGGGCGATGCCGGCACACAGCTGGTGCTCCAGAGCCTGCATCCCACCTGCAAGATCCAGAAGCTCAGGTGAGCTCACGTGGCGGCAGCCACACGCGTGGGGCCTGGGGCTCCCCCTGCTCCTGAGGGAGGTGCACAGTGACCCACTCCTGCCCCGAAGGAGGCGCATCTCAGGCCTCTCTCCTCCGTCCCATGCTCCCTTCCTGCCCTGGGCCTGGGACCTGCGCCCGCTTGTGCCCGCTGGCAGCCAGGAGCCAGCCTGGAGGTGCAGCGGAAGCCCCTGCGATGGGCGTGGCCTTCCCCTGGCGGGCGTGGCCTCCCGTGATGGACATGCTCTCCCACAGCCTCCAGAGCTGCCACCTGTCGGAGGCGGGCTGCGGGGCCCTGTCCAGCCTGCTGCGCTCCATGCCCTCCCTCCGCGAGCTGGACCTCAGCTACAACCAGCTGAAGGACGCGGGCCTGCAGCTGCTCTGCGAGGGGCTCCTGGACCCCCAGTGCCACATCGAGAGGCTGCAGTGAGTGCCCGGCCCGTCCC